AGTGTAACTAGGACACTGGTGGAACAAGTGCTGTACACGTACCATCATTATCAATGAGGGCTTTTCACATTAATTGGTTGTGAGATCAAGTTTGCTGCAAAAACAACAGTGCAATTTTTATTACAACAATCTGATTATAGAATTTCAAAATGGTTGACATTTCAAAATGTACAAAAAGGAATTAATTTGTAACAAACAATGTCCTGCTAAAAAAAGCAAACACACACACTGTTTATCTGTATTTAAGGAATGTAAAAAAAAACTTGGAAGTGTGGATAACATGCTGATAACATGCTGATAACATGAGTCTTTCTGAAGATCATCTTGTTGTTCTACAATAACAAACATAAAACCACTCCACATCTACACCAATATATGCTAACACAGACATAAACACTGGCTTAAGTATCTTTTATAAAACTCCACCAACGGGAGATACCCAAATACTGATTAAAATTATGAAGACTCGTTTCGAAGACATTTTAAAAAAACATTGAGCAGTCCGTGAATGGCCGCTCATTGGCTAGAAGAGATTCATCACTTAATCTAGCCAATCAAAGACCAGTAAATGATCCTGAAATTATTCATCAAAATAAGACAATTGCCACATAATTCCAACCAATTATTTCTGTATATGTTAAGCAACACTGAAAACACGACAGTAACTGTATAACTGTACAAGTGGGGATGGGGTAGCCTAACATCACAAAAATCCTTATTCATCACTGAGTTCAGGAGCAACATATTTGGCCGAGTTTAACAAACACAAACGTTGTCATACCTCATCATGCACTCTGACTGCATGCACAGGCAGCAACAATGTTTTGATCACGTGACAACAGATGGCAGCAACAGTGCTGAGCGACTGTACACAGCGCTGACCGACTGTACTCAGCGCTGAGCGACTGTACACAGCGCTGAGCGACTGTACACAGCGCTGAGCGACTGTACACAGCGCTGAGCGACTGTACACAGCGCTGAGCGACTGTACACAGCGCTGAGCGACTGTACACAGCGCTGAGCGACTGTACACAGCGCTGAGCGACTGTACACAGCGCTGAGCGACTGTACACAGCGCTGAGCGACTGTACACAGCGCTGAGCGACTGTACACAGCGCTGAGCGACTATACACAGTGGACTTGAAACACAAACACTCTTACAATCTCCCTTCCTTAATTCCATAGTTTCGGGTGATAAAAATCCTGAAAATGTTTGTACCCGAATTGAAGCTAATCAAGAGAACCTCGAGTAGCTTTGTCACACATTATACTATACAAAATACATATATTATTGATAGATTATATTCAGGTAAATGGTGATACATCAGAGCAAACAATCCTCGGGATAATTAAATTATAGAGTCTGGATAACCTAATCACCACTTAAGTACCAGTCATTAACCAACGTAATCTCCACATCGACTGTTAATCACTTTATTTACCAATCTCTAAGGATTGACCTTCCTATCCTCAATCATCCACTTTAACTCACAGATCAAGAGTTCCAATCCCACAAGCATGGAACAATAATTGCACTTATGGAGTAATTCATTGTACCCTGTTGAATTCCTTGTTAGATTGTCAGAAAAGTACATTATCTCAACACGGCAGGAAAGGACCTATAAGTGAAGGCGGATCCGGAGGAAATTTTAGTAGTATCCAAGAATGCTTTAAACTGATCTTTGGTGTTCCAAAACGCAATGTTCTACATAGTTCAGGATCTCAGTGTTCTGAATATCAGAATTAGAACTTATGTGTTCTGAACATTTGAATAGTAATCTTAGGTGTTTTGAACATATCAAAGTAAAAACCTGTTGTTTTGAACAGAGCAAACATGTGTGTTCTGAACGTTAATAGTTCAGATCCTTAGTGTTATGAACATCAATTCAAAACCACAGTGTTCCAAAACTCTATTTTTTTCAAAAATTGGAACAGTTTTAGAATTTTTTTTTTCTCCAAAAACGCAGCTGCTCGTCCATATCTCAAGACACATTACATTAAAACATCATCCCTTAAGCACATATCTCCCATGTGAAGAGAAGTAATCAAAAAGCATTGAAACGGTATTATAATTTTTGTTCAAGAATTGATGCAGATTCTCTAGCTTGACGGTGATATATCCTAAAGATGGCATACCCACAAAGAGGAAATAACGGCCAGGTAGAAAACCGTTAAGAAATAGGCTTGCGACTGGTTGATAACTATCCAATTCTCTCTGCTGCTTAATGAACTACCGTCAGTTATCGACGAGTGATGAGTTGCTAGGATATTGAGTCATAATAAATTTTAATTGAATCAGTAAATTCTTAATATAAACTTCAGATTGATAACTAGCTAGCCTCTCTTGTCCACTAAAACTACTGAGACAATTATCGTTTCTCTTTGTACCAGATTTTCACTACCTCTTAGTCGCCTCGGTGGGGACAGGAAGCCGGCAACGAGTCAAAGAGTCCCCTCTTATTCCTGAGCAACATTTTTCCAGTTGACTTTTAAATAGAAGCAATGTCTTAACATTTACAGAGTCGTCGGGTAGGCAGTTCCATGGCTTTATTACCCAATGGGTGATAAAGCATCTCCCGTTTTCTATCTAAGAGAGATATTTTTCGACTAATAGGGTAATAAACCGAAGGAATCGTTTACTTAATTTTGCAGCATTACTGATTTTGTTCCTATTTTTACTCATGTTTTTCAAGCGTCTCTAATGGCTTCTTATTCCCACCACAGTCGTTAGAGATGCACAATTTCCCACTGTGGATAAATCCATGATCACCCAACCAGTTACTTTCCACACCAGACTTTAACGGGCTGATGCGCATAGCATAAACTAAAGTGTCAATGATTATACTGTGCTTGACAAGTGGAGACTTTTTTGTGAAATTTTGGAATGATGTCACCAGTGTACTGTGGATGTTTGGGAATGAGAGGACCTTTGGACACAGGAAACACTGGTACATATATACCATAATATATATTTACCTAACACTGTATATAAGTCTGCGATATGTACGAGCAGCGTCTTAAAGTATTGTTTTAAATATTTCGTATCAGTAAAATCCTGAATTTAAAAACAAAAATGAGTTACTGAGACATGATCGTAACAGCCTTTTTCTTAAAACATGAAAACATCTTTTATCAATACTAGAATAATGGGAACACGAGGGATCAATTAGCAATGAATAGAAAAATCTATCAGTTCTGGGGCAACCAAAAGATGGATCCGCCTCCAGAATTAGTGACAACAATTGTTTACAATACAAAGGAGGTGCCATGTATCACACACATTAGTCCCCATATACCACTGAGGATAATATTCAAAATATTACCGAATATTGGATTATAGGTACAAGTAGGTCAGGATATATCACTGGTTCGTGAGCATTGTCGTGAGCGCCGTACAAAAGACAGTTTATAACATATGCTCTAACAGACCAACACCATTTTCACTGCTCTGATTTTTTTTTTATAATAGCTCTTCAGGGTGATAGAAAATATTAATAAATACTGTAATCTGATTAAATAATTTGTTTTTAATTAGCGTGAAATTGGTGGAGGTCTAGCACATCTCACAGGAATGAACTTGGTGAACTACTGACAGCAAAATAACCACATCACACGAATTACTGTTATGACACGCCGGTTTGAAGAAATATCTCCAAACTAACATTTCTGATTCCAAATTGACTGAAAAGGCAACATTTGCAATGAATGTATATTACTCAAAAAGTTTGATTTAATATCATTTTGTTGTTTATTGTCTTTCTTGAATATGTTCTTTCCTGTAGAGAAATAAGAAGTTGGTATTAAATACTAGCTCACTACATTACGACATACGTTAGAGCAATTGACAGATCTGAATAATCTTCTTTAGCCCTTAAGAAAATCCAGTATCTTATATATCATCACCATCGGGAACACTATAAAGACAAAATAGACATACCTCTTATTCTATTAAATACTTCTACATGGACGGGTTTGGAGGCTTTTTGAAGAATATCAGAAGATGGGAACCCGGATTCCAAAGCGTCTTTTAAAATGAGCCTGATTATCATGGCACATCATGAACCAAGCAGATGATCTGAGTGGCTTCTGAGTGGTTCGTTGTCACTACAAGTGTTGTCCTCGTAGTGGTTCAGAAAAGGGACTCAAAAGTGGCATGATTTATCGAGTTAAAACCTTTTTGTATTTTTCTCACGGTAAAAATGGAGCATCATGAGGCTATTCGCAGGCAGCTTGAGCCTTGAACTGGCTTCATTATATATTATGAACTTTCATTATATATTTTTTCCTTTCATATTGCATGAGCTTAAGTTACTAATAAATCTCATTATCGCCAAATACTGACCCTTTATCACATCCAGTAGCTACTGGCTGAACGCCCACCCCCTCACACTGGAGGTTAATTAGACTATTGTTGTTAGCACAATGCTTTTGGTGAAGACTTCTCAGAAAAGCATCTTCACAAACCCCTCAGAGAGATACAGTGTATGACAATAGCTGAAGTAATACTGTATTTATAATATGGAAAACTTTTCCTGTCATCGTCTGAACCTGTCTAGACATTCTAGAGTCAGCGAGGCCTGCTAACTTTTCCATTTTCTGGGTTCATGAGAGAAAATAAATCACATCTCAATTAATTTTTGGGGAATATTAGCTTATTTTGAAATCTACAACTCTGGTATATATTATATATATATATATATATATATATATATATATATATATATATATATATATATATATATATATATATATATATATAATATATATATATATATATATATATAATATATATCTATATATATCTATATATATATATATATATATTATATATATATCACGAAAATAAACACGTGATTAAAAATGTGACAGTGTCAGACCACGGAGGAAAATTGAAACAGGAATTTCCTTAAGTACTTTCGTCTATTAATACATCTTCACTCCTTCTGAAGATGTATTAATATACGAAAGTACTTAAGGAAATTCCTGTTTCAATTTTCCTCCGTGGTCTGACACTGTCATATATATACATATATATATAACTGAACCATTCATTAACATGCTATGTGTAATTTACAATTTTGATGAAATTTCTTTATATACAATAAACCAAAAGCAGTAATGGAATGAGATAGCAATTCTTTGAATACATTTAGTGTGCTTTGGCCTCTTGGATTACTTTTAATATTTGAGAAAAATATTAAATATAGACTATAATAATATATGATCGACAACACATAATAAAATACTACTATTAGCTAATTGACTCTGTAATTTATAAATGTTGTAATAGGAATTATGCAAGAAAAGTAGAATACTTATGTTAAGTCAAATTTTAGGACGATTTTCATATTATTTCCATAAATAACATCTTGCTTAAGAGCCCTGAAGAGCTTTATTGTCTATACCTGTACATCTTCTGAGGGAATTTATTCTGCATTTTCTGAGATACACACCTGGGCTGATTCGCCACACCCGGGCTGATTCGACACACCCGGGCTGACTCGACACACCCGGGCTGATTCGACACACCCGGGCTGATTCGACACACCCGGGCTGATTCGACACACCCGGGCTGATTCGACACATTCTGGCACGCATTCAACTACTCCAGTTTCCATCTAAAACTCCACATAATTGTTGTAGATTTCTGGGATAATTGATATATAAGCAGATTGTCTTTTAAAATATTTGCAAAATATAAAATTAAGCATGATTCACCATGAATAACATTACAAGCGTCAATGGCTCTTTCATGTTTTTAAACAAATAAACTAATAAAATATTTACTTATATTCATTATGAATAAGATAAGGTCGGTTATTTGCAAATGAAATAACCAACATCGACAAGTTCAGCACACGTGAGAAAAATAACTATATGAAAAATCAGAAAATATATAGAAATGGTGAAATTAGCTGACACAGCTGAATTTACAATGATTCTCATCACGTACTTCCATTTCTAATCACCAAAATCGAGTAAAATAGTATTAATTGAACTATTCTAAATTGCTATGTCATATATGTGAGTCCTGGATGCTACTGGAAACTTGAGGCTCACGGCTGATCTGTAGCAACAGCTCTGCTGTGGTGAGAGTCCTTTACTAACGGCAGTGGAAGGATGTCAACTTCTGGGCTTATAGTATCCCTATGTAAGATCTTTGGAGAAGGACGTTTCTGGAGGGCTGCAGCTAAGGTGCTCCGAGCTGCCAGGGCAGGAAAGGAGTAGAGGGTATTGAAGGCCATGAAGCCCTGAGGTTGAATCAGTGGGGGTGTGGAGGTATCTTCCACTCTCTGTTGGTTCTGCTGCTCCATCACCAAGCCTTTAGTCAGACTCAGAAGGCTGGAGGAGACTTGCCACGATGCGTCACTATTTGGGAGGGGACTATTGCTGTTACTGTTTCCCGTCTTGGTAATACTACTGCTTGTTTTCCCCCTAAGAAGAGCATCTAAAACACTGCCTTGGTAGGGGGGAGTGACTGAGGGCTCCTGGGCCTGGGAGATGGGCCCTGGTGATGTGCAAGGCTCATTACTGCGTGGAGAAAGAGAACTAACACTCCCGTGGTTCTTAACAGCTGCCTCTTGGAACCGCCGAATCATCTGAGATGCATAAAAGGGATCTTGTTGGTAGCTAGAGAGGAAGGGAGAAACCATGGAGGCTCCATTCCATAGACTGAATGGATTAGCTAGAATTGGAGCAGATGATAAGGGAGATGGAGTAACCGAAGTAGAGGAAAGGGGAGTGGATGAAAGGGGCGGGTAATTTGGAAAGGCTGCCGTTTCTAAGTCAACTCGAGGCCTTTTCATAACAGGTCGAACTGTCACGTTCTCTTCACTTTTGGAACTTTCATCTCCTGTTAGGTCTATAGTTGAGGTCGTGTCTGCTTGGTTCCTGACTATATCAGTCGAGGACTTCGAAGTGTCTCCTGGACTTCTTAGAGCATCTGAAGAGTTTACAGGATTTTCTTTCTTGATTTTATCGAGTGGGGAGGAGCAGCCAGAGGATGAAATGGTCTCCTTTTTATTCTTCCCACGGGTGAGGTGCCTTTCTTTGACTTTGTATTCGAGAGTCGAGTGAGGAACCCCATAGAAGCTCCCAGCTCGATGGACACTCATCTCACCGCTCTGCACGGCCTGCACCGCCTTCAGGAGATTATCCCGGTCATAATTTCTGTACTTTCCTCGTTTGGGTCTTGAACCCTTACCCCCTGATGGTGAAGATGTGGCGGAGCCTTTCTTGGTCGGGTCCCGTTTCTCACCATTAAGCTTACTATGCGCGTCCCCAGTCGAAGAGTAAGACAAGGAGGACTGTTGTAACTTTCCGCTTGCCGTATCCTTACCAAGTGGCAGCTCGCATCCCAGTTTTTGCCCAATCATTTGAGCAATCATCTCTTTTAGGTTTGGACTGGGTAGAGAGATCAGTGGCTGACTAGAATGGTTGGAGTCTGAGGCTGTGGGCTCAGAGTCTCCCTTAACAAGGCCATTACACGCGGGGGAGTAGGACGGTACAGTGAGATCGCAATTGTCACCCTTCAAGCCATTTGCAGCGTGAATGTCGACCGAGCCATTTAATCTGGACTTACTTCTTTGTAGTTCTTCGTTGTACCGTTCTTCAACTACCTTCTTTATAAAGTCACTTAACTGAGGATAAAAAGAAATGCTACTAAAAATATCTGTTGACACTTCTTTGTTGTCTTTGTTAAGGGCAAGTTTAGGAATGTTCTCCAACAAGTACTTAAGGGCCGACTCAACTACTCTCTTGTTGTCACTGCTGCCAAGGCCTTTCCGACTCATTTCTTCCAGTTTCTCCGCCATCTTGTTCTTAAGTAACGTTCTAAAGCACTCTGACGATGTGCTTATTTCATTGTCAAGGCTGCCCCCACTTTCACTCACGCCATTGTGGCACTCTGCGAACGGCTTGGTGTCCGACAGCAGAGTGGAATTAGTCTGTTCTGCCAGTTTTTTATTCCGCTCACGTTCCATTGCTAATTTGTAAACCTGCAAATGCAAAAAAAATGTATTCTGTATCGTAAATTGAAACTACCTCAATACAGTAAATATAAGCTAACAATATTGAATCATTTCTTAACTCTTAAATAAATATTCAGTTGTGGAATGCAACAGTAAATTGATTTAGGAAATGAACTGAAAAAGGCGTTGAGTATAACCTTATTCCTGAGCGTGGAACGGGGGATACCGTAGATAACAGCCGCCCTTCTTGTCCCCAACTTTCCACTCTGGATGTCCCTCAGTGCTGCTTGTAATTCCTCCTCTGTGTACGACCTTTTGCTCATGTCTCCTCGCCTCCGACCTCTGCCGAAATAAACATTGATTAATGTTTAGAAAGTTAAAACAAATTATAAATAAATAAATAAGTGTTTATTTAGGTAAGGTACATACATACAAGAGATTTTACAAAGATTGATGGATTTATAGATAGAGCTAGTACATACAATGCCTAAAGCCACTATTACACAAAGCGTTTCGGGCAGGTAAAACATTAATGACTAAAGCTTAATACTAACTGGGTATAAAGAATAAAATGTGTTGAGAACAAATAAAAATAAAGATAAAAGAGGGGGGAACATGGTTGTTCTTTTATAGTAAAGTACTGATAGTGGAAAATTAAGTCCAAGTTCTTAATTCATGATGTAGGCCACAAAATCTGACTTTCAGTGCGATGAATACTTAAATTAATTTTCTCAACGAAACACTTAGTTGCTTCTTTAGGCATTCTGCCGCAAAAATTGATCCATTTTAAAAAGTTAAAAAAATTATAGTAAAGTACTGATAGTGGAAAATTAAGTCCAAGTTCTTAATTCATGATAAAGACCACACAATCTGACTTTCAGAGCGATGAATAGAATTAATTTTCTCAGCGAAACAGTTGCTTCTTTAGGCATGGATCTGATTTTCCTCCAGATTAGTGCTATGCAATCAGAGGCAGATCGCCATTCAGAACCGGCACAGCAGATTCTTTGCTGGGTCATAACGGTGCCAGAGAAGACACCGAACAACACTGAATTCAGACCAGAATGACCATTAAAAGGTTCATTTAACTACACCTCAGAGCACAACTTTCCATCAGAGGAACCATCAATGTGTTCCTGCTAGATGGCCTGCCAGACCACACCACAACTCACCACCAATAAAGGACGCACCACGAACATCAAACTGAACTAGTCCCAAGAGCTCTGAACTCACCTGTATCCTGACTCAGCCCACCGCATAATTTGCCTGATATCAACCACCGATAAATATACAGGTAAAACAACAACCTAGTCACATTACACTCCAAGCACTCATTAATTCAAAGCTCATTAACCCGCATGTAAATTACCGCCAAATTACGTCGTTGGTAAACTTAGAGGATGTAAAGTGTAGGCTACTGGCTGATGTACTTGGCGGCACTCAGGTCTGAGTTTACGAATACTGGGAATCACAATAATGGGATACATTTTTAGGACAATAATTGGAACAAAACGGGGATCGAACCAGCGTCCTGGGTGTCCCCAGACACGCACTCCGCATGCCCTGCTCTCATGATGTCCTTAGAAGCATTCAAACAATGCATTAACATAAAATAAGTCATTAGTGTGAGAAATTGTTCTCAGCAAGCATTCACAATGTAGGATTGATAACAGGATAATATTCTCCACACATTGAGTAATAAACCCCATCAATCCGATGGAGCTGGAAATACTGCAACTGGGAAAAAGCCTCAGATATAATGGGGGGTGAACCTATAATTAGCCACCTGTTTTCTTTCCTCTTCAAGTCCATTATAGATGGTGTCATTCAGGTAACTATGGACACAGAACAACTGCTGAATATTCTAACTAGTCTCACATATGTCGTGAACAGTTTAAGTACTTATCTGTCAATGTACAGTAAAGCGAATCCGAATTGGCAGATTACAATCAAGAGTCACCTCTAAATCTCTCTCTCTCTTTCCGCTTCCTGGGATCCCACCCGGAGAGCGGAAGCAATCAATCAGTAATCGGGAAATGATTATGAGAGGACCAGACAAGTAATCCAAGAGAAGGTCCCAAGACACTTCGTGTCAAGCATTGAAGGCACAGCCTGGAGGTCCACCTCGAGCACCGGAAGGAGCGGTGAATGACACCAGTGGCCAAGGAAATGCCTTCCTAAGAGCCAGTGGACACACCAAGCAAGAAAGAATATCACGGAAGCTGAGGCTACTGACCCTTGGCAGAATCCCGAGTTGGCAGCCTAGTCCCAACAGCTCTGTACTCTACTGTACCCTAGAGCTCTGAACTCTACTGTATCCAAGAGCTCTGTACCAACATACACACTGAGTCACTTATCAACAACCTCTATTAAAAGTTGGTGGTAAGTGATAAATCAAATTACTATCTCTCAGAATTTTGTATGAAGCAAGAAATTTGGTACGTGTGTCTGAAGCATTTTTTTTTTCGTATTTCACAATATTTGTGTGTTTTTCTAATGGAGAAGTCTGCAGGCCAGACGGGAAATACACTTCTCATACGCTCGATGGGAAGAAATGCACATCTAAAATGATGCTAGTATATCATCCATTAAATGATATCTTAAGCTTTTGCCTTAAAAATTCATTTTTGATTTTACTAAATCAACTAAACTGTTTTTTTTCTTTGGTTATGATCACTTAATTCACCCTCAAGTGCAGCTTTTTATTTTTGTCCACCTTCATGTTGTTCTTTGTTAAAAATGTTGACCTTAATATTTTTGTTTATTACCCATATCATGGCTTTTTCTTTCTATTTCCAATTTACAGTCCAGGGGTCAGATTCACGAAGCAGTTACGCAAGTACTTACGAACGTGTACATCTTTCCTCAATCTTTGACGGCTTTGTTTACAATTATTAAACAGTTTACAAGCATGCAAACTTGCCAATCAACTGTTGTTATTGTTATAAACAGTCTCCTGGTGCTTCGGAGCTCATTAACTGTTTAATAATTGTAAACAAAGCCGCCAAAGATTGAGAAAAGATGGACAGGGGCCAGATTCACGAAGCAGTTACGCAAGTACCTACGAACGTGTACATCTTTCCTCAATCTTTGACGGCTTTGTTTACATTTATTAAACAGTTTACAAGCATGCAAACTTGCCAACCAACTGTTGTTATTGTTATAAACAGCCTCCTGGTGCTTCGGAGCTCATTAACTGTTTAATAATTGTAAACAAAGCCGCCAAAGATTGAGAAAAGATGGACAGGGGCCAGATTCACGAAGCAGTTACGCAAGTACCTACGAACGTGCACATCTTTCCTCAATCTTTGATGGCTTTGGTTACATTTATTAAACAGTTTACAAGCATGAAAACTTGCCAATCAACTGTTGTTATTATTATAAACAGCCTCCTGGTGCTTCGGAGCTCATTAACTGTTTAATAATTGTAAACAAAGCCGCCAAAGATTGAGAAAAGATGGACAGGTTCGCAAGTGCTTGCGTAACTGCTTTCTGAATCTGGCCCCAGAAGGCAATGCCTTCCAAATTATGGCCCGCGTCTGGGAGTACTCCGGACGCTGGTTCGATTCTCATTCCGTTCCAGAGATTTCCACACTTCTTCACGTAAGTAAATGGTAGTTAGATGTTTTTTCAGCTACTCGGAACACAAAGTTCCAAGTAGCACAGGCTATGGTGAGCCCGTAAGGTAGTTAGTAGTAGTGTTAAATAAATGATGGTGAAGGCTGTGGAAGAGGCTAGACTCAAGGTAAGTTATTTCTACTAGTTACTAAGTGTCCGAAATCGATAAATAATTGGCATTGATAATCTAACTTAAAGTTATGTGAATGGCATTGGCACAGTTATGGGACAACAAGTGGGTACAATGTGCAAAAAATAATGCTAATACAAATAAATTAATATATATATAAACATACATATTTACAAAAAAATATTCAAACCACAAGATATACTACTAAGTCTATAGTGGTCGCAAGTTCAATTGTTTCAAGCTCAATAGTCACAAGTCCAACATGAAGCAAACTATTAAATAAGATCTCTAAATGTTGAATAGTGAACAAACTAAAGGAATTATATATGCAGCTGTAAACGAGTTTTTATCATGGTTATTGAACTCTTTCTGAAGCAATTGAGCATAAATAGCATTTCTGCCAATCATTTGAAGTCTTGCAAAATAAGGGGACGATCTTTGCCATCTACAGTATGTAATATACATTAACTTGCCACAGGAATAAATATACGTATAAGCTGAATATATTTTGAGATGTAAAATGTTCAAACTTATTATATAATTCATATATATTGGAGAAGTAAGCTTTTTCATAACTTACCTTTGTACTATAATTTGTATCGGGCCAATACACATATACCTAAAATTATTTGGTGTATACTGGCAGCAGGTTTTCTTTCAAACATGTCTCATTGAATATGACCGCATATTCTGTATTTACTATCTTCTGATTTAGGGCTTCTATCCCTCTAACTATTTTCTTAGCATCAGGGCTTAGCTGAAAGAGGAGTTCTCTAAAACTCGTTTTCGTAATTTCAAGGTGAAGAATAGAAGTGAATTACTATAGAATGTATTACACTTATTTATACAATTTGCACAACGTTGTGCAAATTGTATAATACATTCTATAGTAATTCACTTCTTTTCATCACCTTGAAATTACGAAAACGAGTTTTGGGGAACTCCTCTTTCAGCTAAGCCCTGATGCTAAGAAAATAGTTAGAGGGATAGAAGCCCTAAATCAGAAGATAGTAAATACAGAATATGCGGTCATATTCAATGAGACATGTCTAAAATTATTTGTCAATGTCTTTCCGTAACAACGAAAATTTTTATAAATTAGTTTATCTTGGCCGTGTTACGTTACATATCATTAATGATACACTTAAAGGCAATAATCGTATTGCATCGAGAGTAATTAGTTACCCGCGTACTCTAACACCAGGCAAAATACCTCATGTGTTAAATACTGTGAAACCTTTACCTGGTTGACGTAATTTTGGCATCGACTGGGGTGAGGGGCTTGACAGTGTCATAATGGAAGAGCGGGCTGTTGGCGGTAGTGGTGTGAGCGAGGGTGCCTAATTCAGGCTTGATACTTGACAGGTGAGACTTGGCACTAAGATCCAAAGGCTGCTGCTCCTTATCTTCCAGACTCATCTCAGACTGCTCCTGTTGCGCCTGGTATAAAAAACATGTCACCAATCAATCAAATTAAACTCTCCAAGTTTTCCTTCACGATCGGCTCAATAAAGAACCTCTCTCGTCAGTATTACTGATAAGACACTAAATTGACTGACACTAAGATTGCACAGGGTTAATACCAAGAAAATCTCTGGGTACCATCTCTCATAATTCATCAGGTGGAATCAATCATATTGCGCAAAAGCTGCATTTGAAGCCTCTTAACTCTTGACAAATAACTTAGCCAGAGGGTAAGACTTAGAGGGGTCACAGTGCAAACCTTTAGAGTAATGTTATACGACGTAATCAGAAAATCTAATTCAGATGAAGGACATTATTCTAACATGAAGCCTAGCCTGTAATCGCGCTACGTGAAAAATAATACAGCCTATCACTGTAACTGGGACATATTTAAAACAATCCTGTGGTATAATATTTAGTTTTAATTATTTGATTTTATACCCAACTTGCAATATGGATCACTTTGCAAAATTTATCGACAGATTAAATTGACATTTATGCAATACGAACTTGGAGGTTTATGTTTCATCACAACCTTTAACGCTCTCCATGGAGATAGAGGGCACAAAAACACATCTATTTTTTGCTTTCCAACATGCCTTTGATATTGCTAACAAGGAAGTTACCTTGTATGAATTGGCTAGAATGGATATATATACGTGGACAATAGTTACAATGGGTAGGAGGTTATCTCACCAACCGGAAGTCCTCTCCACACTGTTCCAAGGCTACAAAAATGAAACTAATGCAACTTGGCATCCCACAAGGAGGAATATAGCCCACTTGGTTCAATGTACTAAGCATTGACTTACTCAAAATCAATCCGAACATGTGCTAAAAGTACACACACAGAGAGACAGAAGGGATGTGTTGCTGAAATATGTTGGGACCGTCCATTTATACTCGTTATTTCATGGCACTTTTCTTGGATTTATTTTTGGTAGACTGATGCCAGGTCGACCAAAATAACGGGTAGACCCGAGTACTGGTCGAGTGCGTAATATATAAACAGGCTACGTGTCCCTCGTCACAATGAAGTATTACTTATAATACGAAATTAAACCAGAAATTGTCATTAAAAACTTAAGACCAAAGAAGCCTTTGTAACGGTAAGGAAGTATCTCATGGACACTTTAAAAGTCAAGACACATTAAGTCTTACTAATATAGACTTTGCAAGAATGTAAGAACATTAATGTTATCAACTCTCACAAACAAAATTTACCTTCTTGTATACAAATAAATAATAAAATAAATAAATATTCGAAGCTTCTAAAAATAAAAAAGTGACAAGAAATAACTTCAATAAAGATAAATAATTAAAGCAAAATCACAATATTTCAATAAAACGAAGGAAAATGTACACACACTTAGATGTCACATCTTCCTGTATTCACCTAGTTGTGCTTGCGGGGGTTGAGCTCTGCTCCTCGGCCCGCCTCTCAACTGTCAACCAATCAACTGTTATTAACTACTAAAAAATGTTTTCACACACACACACACACACACATACATGGGGGGGCTGGGTAGCCGAGTGGACAGCGTTCTAGACCCGTGGACCTAGGGTCCGGGTTCGATCCCCGGTGATGGCAGAGGTTCTTTCACCTTGATGCCCTTGTTACCTAGCAGTAAATAGGTACCTGGGAGTTAGTCAGCAATCACGGGCTGCTTCCTGGGTGTGTGTGTGTGTATGGAGGAAAAAAAATAGTAGTTAGTAACAGTTGAAAGGCGGGCCGAAAGAGCAAAGCTCAACCCCCGCAAGCACAAATAGCTGAATACAAATAGGTGAATACACACTCAAGAAGCAGCCCGTAACAGTTGTCTAACTCCCAGGTACCTATTTACTGCTAGGTAACAGGGGCATGAGAGAAAGAAACTCTGCCCATTTGTTTCTGCCATCACCCGGAATCGAACCCGGACCCTAAGATAACGAGCCCAGAGCGCTCTCTACTCAGCTATCAGGCCCCTGTAGTGATATAAAAAACTGAAATGGCAACAAAAATATGACCAAAACCTATTACAACTGACACCAATTAAAGAAAACTAAGCTTAAGGGGAAACACAGGGAAAATATACGTAGAAGTAAATATCAATTTCCTCGAATTTCTCTTGAGTTTTCGTCGAATTGTCGTGAGTAATCTGTCTGGTATCACTCTTGTTGGGGTCTCTCTCTCGTTCTTGACGTCAGTACAGGAAGAAGTGGCATCCAAGTGTGTCTAGCTTTTCCTTCAATTTTTACTGGAATCTTGTGATTTATTGTTAGAGAAATTAATTTATTATTTAAGTTTTTTGTTTATCTTATTTGTTTATTTGTAAAAGCTTCGTATCGTTATTAGGACTTGATGGATCTTAACTTTTTAAAGTGTCTTCATGACATTCGTTACTATTGTAAAGACTTCTTTAGCCTAAAATTTATTTATGGCAATTTCTGTTTTTTTTTCTGTATATAGATACTGCTATAATTTCGTTTTATATTCACTAACAAATTTTGTTATTAAAAATATTTGATCTCTGTGTTTTGTCGATGATGATGAAGACTTCTTTGGACTTTAAAGAAGTCTTTAAGACTTTAGTGTTGCATCAAAACGTTGAAATAAAAGGATTCAACTTCTCAAGATATTGCTCCTGCTCATACGCCTACATAAGAGATAAATCTTTCTACAAGCAGCACAGTTCACTACGGGCTCACCATAGCCCGTGCTACTTGGAACTTTTGTTCCAAGTTCCAATATATATATATATATATATATATATATATATATATATATATATATATATATATATATAACTTTAGAACACTTTCCCACCAGGAGACTCGAACCCTAGCCAGCACAGAAGCCTTCCAGCAACTGGCATAACAGGTACGCCTTAACCCGCTCCACCACCCGCTCAGACATATATACATATTATATATATATATATATATATATATATATATATATATATATATATATATATATATATATATATATATATATATATATATATATATATTGCCGAAGTCATGCTTAAGAATCGTGGAACATGTTGAAAAACACTAATTTGAAGTCAGTTTTTTTTATTTTAGTGATAAAAATGATTCAAGACGAAATTTTAAGTAATCCATAGAAACAATTGACTCCTTGTAAATCGTAAAGCAACTAATGTTTAATGGAATAATTTTCACAAGCGGGGATCTATAGACAACTTAGAATGGTGACTGAGAAAGTTTATATTATAATTTAAACTCGAAAAACGGTGTAATTTAAACCAGAAAATGTTACCATTGACGAATATCAACATTTGTGGTTTTGTCTCTAATATGAACACTACATTAAAGAGCTAACTGTCATAGCTCTAACTGCCATTACAGGGCTAACATATGGCTGCCAATTGGCCTCTAGTGAAAACTTTTGGCTGAGGCTATATCATACTCACGCAAAGGCCCCATAGAGCCCGTTGTTTGTGATGTGTGTCTATGTATTAACACGATGTACTGAACGGGGTGAGAATAGCTTGAGCTACCTCATCCCTTTGTGTGTATTTTACCTCAATAAACTTATTTCAATTTCATAGAGGCCGGGTGCTGACCTGATGGACTCTGGCGAGTTGATGGAGATGGGAGGACAGAATCCAGGGAAGAAGATGTGGGGGAAGATTGGCCGTATAGAGGTCCAGGGGCAGCCGGGGCCCCACATCACCCCCCAAGACACCCAGGGACCCGATGCCCCGTCCCACACCCCCGAGGTAGGGCCGAGCGATGAAACCCCCAGAGATGGACGACGAGGTGGGGGCGGACGGAGAACGAGGGGTAGACAGGTCTAGGGTGGCTTCCGTCACCTCCTCTGTAGCATCGTGGTGATGGGTGCTGGGCGTGAGGTCCTCCAGCATGGCGGGGGACGCCGATCTTCTCCTGGGGGAGTCTTGCGGCCCAGTCTTGGCAGTGTCGGACTCAGTGGAAGCTTCCGCCTGTAAACACGTCGTGAATCAGATCTGCTGCCATATTATGTACTCAGTAACATCACATTTTACCAACAATTTCTCTCGATAAACAAAGTAACTTTAAGATTAATTATACCCAAAATCTGCCAATAGCAGAAACATTCATAATAAAGTAGTGATAAAAATAATTTACATATAATTTGTAGATTGTAAGATCATGCATCAGACCGGCTCCATATTATGTACACAGTAACATTATATCTTACTGATAATTTCTCTCAGTAAACAAAGCAACTAAGATTAATTATACCCAAAATCTGACGATAGCTAAAACATTCATAATAGTAATAAAGATAACTTACATATAATTTGTAGATTGTAAGTTTTTAAGTATATGATATACAAGTATGGCAGAGTGAACTTTAAGCCTTAAGGTATGACTAAATTATTTAATTCATCGAAATTACTTCTTAAAAAGACTGTTCTCTCGTCTCCTCGTGATACTCCTAATCGACTCCAGCGACTTCGACAAGCCTAATGACGCGACGGGGAATCGAACTCAGACCCTGCAAGACGCAAGGCTATCGATGTTCCGATCACTCCAAGTAAATGTAGAATCATATATATCTGGAAAGATGCAATGATTCTGCATGGGAAAATAAGCATTAGGCGCTTATGGTGTCTGTTGGTTTCATGACTAATGGTTACAATTTGCTTCGTTCTCTGCTCACAATCGGGGATCCCGGGTTCGACAGAAATGGTTGAGTTCGTTTCTCTTCATCTAATGCCTCTGTTTACCTAGCAGTAAATGATTACCCCGAGAGTTAGGCTGCTGTTGTGGCCGTGCATATTATATATATATATATATATATATATATATATATATATATATATATATATATATATATTAATTATACTTTGGTAGCAGTCTTTCTTGTAAACATGTGTTGTTAAATATGACTGAAAAAGTGAGATTAACAATTCTAACACGAATTTTCTCAATATTTCTTATGTTTCTTTTTACTGTCGATGGTAATTGAAAAATCAATTCTTCAGACCGAGGGAAACAAGGTGAGACAATGTTGTCCAGATCCACATTGATCCATCCAGATCTAGAAGGTGAAGGGACGACGACGTTTCGGTCCGTCCTGGACCATTCTCAAGTCGATTGTGCCACGAGCCACATACCTCAGCTACGTTACTGTGACCCATCATCTGCAAGCTGAGACAACAGGGGCCCAAGCTTAAACGTACCAGGGAAGAGGTGCGTTCGACGCCCTGGCAGACAAAGCAGGAAGCGACGGGGTCCCAGTCCTGAGGATGGTCGCGTTCAGACGGCACCAGGACATTAGAGGGGCTTGCAGGATCCGGATAGAGGTCTGACCGCACCTTTAGCCAGGCTGACTCACCCATCAGCTCCTCTAGGACGCGTTCTAAACCTGTGGGAGACAAGGTAATGGGTCAGTGAGACGCAATGGACAGGGGAAAAACAATGTTGTGGTGGGGAGTTTGTGTTGCATTAACTACTTCTTCCTCCCTCCTCACCCCTCAGTTTCAGGCCATAGTTTAGCACTGCAGATCACCCAAGATATCAAACAGCTTTTCTTGTGGAGGGTGCTGCGAGGTTCCTGAATTATCTTAAATGTCGTTTTCTTGTTTCCAGTTTCTTTAAGGTAAGCAACTTCAATTCGTTGGGATTTTTTGACGAAGGAATTCGTCTAGTGAGTGAGTCAGTCAGCCAGCCAGCCAGCCAGCCGGCCAGTCAGCCAGCCAGCCAGCCAGCCAGCCAGCCCCTTAAGTACTAACGACTGCCTCTAATGACCACTCCGAGACCTTGGCATAAGGTAACAAGCAGAGTCCAATAAACAAGATCTTGGACACTATTCCCCATCTACGTAAACGACTTAACTACATCGTTAGAGACTTGTAAGTCAATGATTATGGACGATGCAAAATGAGAAGAGGCGAAACAGATGAAGATTTCAACTAGTATACTAAACAAAATTATATATTTGGTTGGGAGTTTGATTCAATAAAGTGCCACAGGAATTAAATACCGTTAAGTGTAAGGTTACTCTCTCTCCGTCACCTTCCCCCTCTCAATCTCCCTCCCTCCCTCTCCCCTCCCTCCCTCTCCCCTCCCTCTCTCTCCCCCCCCCTCTCTCTTCCCCCCTCTCTCTCCCCCTTCCTCTCTCTCTCTCTCTCTCTCTCTCTCTCTCTCTCTCTCTCTCTCTCTCCGCGTATCTCATGACCCTCGCTGCACCACAACCCCCCCCCCCCCCCGGAGCATCTTGTTCACTGCACAGTGTAATCCCGTGATCTCTCTCACACGACTCCCGTGATCTCTCTCACACGACTCCCGTGATCTCTCTCACACGACTCCCGTGATCTCTCTCACACGACTCCCGTGATCTCTCTCACACGACTCCCGTGATCTCTCTCACACGACTCCCGTGATCTCTCTCACACGACTCCCGTGATCTCTCTCACACGACTCCCGTGATCTCTCTCACACGACTCCCGTGATCTCTCTCACACGACTCCCGTGATCTCTCTCACACGACTCCCGTGATCTCTCTCACACGACTCCCGTGATCTCTCTCACACGACTCCCGTGATCTCTCTCACACGACTCCCGTGATCTCTCTCACACGACTCCCGTGATCTCTCACACACGACTCCCGTGATCTCTCTCACACGACTCCCGTGATCTCTCTCACACGACTCCCGTGATCTCTCTCACACGACTCCCGTGATCTCTCTCACACGACTCCCGTGATCTCTCTCACACGACTCCCGTGATCTCTCTCACACGACTCCCGTGATCTCTCTCACACGACTCCTGTGATCTCTCACTACCCCTAAGTGCTTCCTAAAACCTCTCATACTTGTTTACATGAGGGACAGGTGTGTAGGGGGTCGAGGGACAGGTGTGGGGGTCGGGGGACAGGTGTGGGGGTCGGGGGACAGGTGTGGGGGGTCGGGGACAGGTGTGGGGGGTCGGGGACAGGTGTGGGGGGTCGGGGACAGGTGTGGGGGGTCGGGGTACAGGTGTGGGGGGTCGGGGGACAGGTGTGAGGGGTCGAGGGACAGGTGTGGGGGTCGGGGGACAGGTGTGGGGGTCGGGGACAGGTGTAGGGGTCGGGGACAGGTGTGGGGGGTCGGGGACAGGTGTGAGGGGTCGGGGAACAGGTGTGGGGGGTCGGGGAACAGGTGTGGGGGGTCGGGGACAGGTGTGAGGGGTCGGGGGACAGGTATGGGGGGTCGGGGACAGGTGTAGGTTATCGGGGGACATGTGTGAGGGCCAGGTACAGGTGTGGGGGGTCGGGGAACAGGTGTGGGGGGTCGGGGTACAGGTGTGGGGGGTCGGGGTACAGGTGTGGGGGGTCGGGGGACAGGTGTGAGGGGTCGGGGGACAGGTGTGGGGGGTCGGGGGACAGGTGTAGGGGATCGGGGGACAGGTGTAGGGGGTCGGGGGACAGGTGTAGGGGGTCGGGGGACAGGTGTAGGGGGTCGAGGACAGTTGTGTGGGGTCGGGGACAGGTGTGTGGGGTCGGGGTACAGGTGTGTGGGGTCGGGGACAGTTGTGGGGGGCCAGGTACAGGTGTGAGGGGTAGAGGAACAGATGTGGGGGGGTCAGGGAACAGGTGTAGGTTATCGGGGGACAGATGTGAGGGGTCTGAGACAGGTGTGAGGGGCCAGGTACAGGTGTGGGGGGGGTCGGGGGACAGGTGTGGGGGGGGGGTCGAGGACAGGTGTAGGTTGTCGGCGTACAGATGTGGGGGGTCGGGGACAGATGTGGGGGGTCGGGGACAGGTGTGGGGGGTCATGAACAGGTGTAGGTTATCGGGGGACAGGTGTGAGGGCCAGGTACAGGTGTGAGGGGTCGGGGAACAGGTGTGTGAGACAGGTGTGGGGGGGGGGAGAGACAGAGGGGATCGCCTGGGGGGCAGAGAGAGAGAGGCAGTGGTTGCTACGGCAATGATGGCTGTCAATACTACACATCCTGGGGGCAATCCCCCCCCCATTAACCCCCCCTCTCCCCCTCACGCCCCCCCTCCCCACCTGCCCTTTTTCACCTTTTTTCAAGTCCCTCTCACACTTCCCTCGACACCCCCCCTCTCTCACCCACCTATATATAGACCAGCCACCTACACCCACCATCACCACCTACACCCACCATCACCACCTACACCGACCATCACCACCTACACCCACCATCACCACCTACACCCACCATCACCCACCTACACCCCCTCAGAAACACAGGAAAGGTTGCCCACTCACAACACCACATTAACTACCGCCCGGAAGAAATCTTCAAGAAGCCGCTGAAGGAGAGGGCAGATTCACGAAACAGTTACGCAAGCACTTACGAACCTGAAGCCAGATTCACGAAGCTGTTACGCAAGCACTTACGAACCTGGGGCCAGATTCACGAAGCAGTTACGCAAGCACTTACGAACCTGGGGCCAGATTCACGAAGCAGTTACGCAAGCACTTACGAACCTGGGGCCAGATTCACGAAGCCGTTACACAAGCACTTACGAACCTGGGGCCACATTCACGAAGCAGTTACGCAACCACTTACGAACCTGGGGCCAGTTTCACGAAGCAGTTACGCAAGCACTTACGAACCTGTACATCTTTTCTCAATCTTTGGCGGCTTTGTTTACAATTATTAAACAGTTAATGAGCTCCGAAGCACCAGGAGGCTGTTTATAACAATAACAACAGTTGATTGGCAAGTTTTCATGCTTGTAAACTGTTTAATAAATGTAACCAAAGCCGTCAAAGATTGAGAAAAGATGTACAGGTTCCTAAGTGCTTGCGTAACTGCTTCGTAGCTTCGTAAATCTGACCCCAGGTTCGTAAGTGCTTGCGTAACTGCTTCGTGAATCTGGCCCCAGGTTCGTAAGTGCTTGCGTAACTGCTTCGTGAATCTGGCCCTCCTGTGGTCCTCGCGGCCGAGCAGACAGTGCTCGGGGATCACAGCCCAGCGGACCCGGGTTCGATTCTCCGGTCGAGGTAAAAACAAATAGGTAAAGTTTCTTTTTACCTGATGCTACTGTCCACCTATCAGTAAATAGGTACCTGGGAGTTAGACAGCTGCTACGGGCTGCTTCCTGGGCTGTGTGTGTGTGTACATTTTACACAACCAATGGTTAGAGAGGCGGGGTCCAAGAGCTAACAGCTCAATCCAGCAGGCACACACATAGTAAATACTGAAGAACTATTTGAAAAGACAATTAATCACCGAATCAGCTCATTCATTTTTTTTTATTATTTTTTATGCCACTAAATGGCATCAATTATATTCAACTCATCTATTTCCTGTATCTCATACATGCTACATACACACACACACACACACGGGCTGAGAGGTATGAGTTACGAGGAGAGACTACAGGAATTAAACCTCACTTCGCTGGAAGACAGAAGAGTTAGGGGGGATATGATCACCACGTACAAGATTTTCAGAGAAATTGATAGGGTAGATAAAGACAGTCTATTTAACACAAGGGGCACACGCACAAGGGGACACAGGTGGAAACTGAGTGCCCAAATGAGCCACAGAGATATTAGAAAGAACTTTTTTAGTGTCAGAGTGGTTGACAAATGGAATGCATTAGGAAGTGATGTGGTGGAGGCTGACTCCATACACAGTTTCAAGTGTAGATATGATAGAGCCCAATAGGCTCAGTAACCTGTACACCTGTTGATTGACGGTTGAGAGGCGGGACCAAAGAGCCAGAGCTCAACCCCCGCAAACACAACTAGGTGAGTACACACACACACACACAGTTTAGGAGCCTGGTAGCCTGGTGGATAGCGCGCAGGACTCTTAATTCTGTGACGCGGGTTTGATTCCCGCACCAGGCAGAAACAAATGGCCAAAGTTTCTTTCATCCTGAATGCCCCCGTTACCTAGCAGTAAATAGGTACCTGGGTGTTAGTCAGCTGTCACGGGCTGCTTCCTGGGGGGTGGAGGCCTGGTCGAGGACCGGGCCGCGGGGACACTAAAGCCCCGAAATCATCTCAAGATAACCTTAAGATACCCTTAATTCTCCCTTCATGCACTCCAACCTCACTATTCCTGCCCCCCCCCCCCAACCATTCCACCCCACAACCGACCCCCTATCACTCGCCCCCCCCCCAGGAGCGACTACCTGGAACAAGCAAAGCAGAACCATTCAGCTTTCTTCCAAATTAAGACAGAAACAAGTGCCAGAGAGGCGAGTGCCAGGGTCGCGAGAGCGAGGGAGAGTGGCCCTTAAGTCCGGTGATCATAAGGGCGAGAGTCGGGCTGGTAAATGGGAATTAGGAAGGGTCGTTCTTGCACCCCCCCCCCCCCTGTGGCCCTGGCTACCTGATGCCGAGTCGTTGCCCGGGCGACGAGTGATGCTGGGTCCTCACTCCCTCATGCTGGGTCCTCACT